TTATTGATAATATTTCGTCAGTCATCCAATTCTTCTTTTTGTACTTTTGGGAAGCGATCAGAACTTTGGTGGTGGTTACGATAGCTTTTTTAATACAATTCCATTTCTCTTCTATACTGTCCGGTTGTTAAGATCTTGCGTGATATCCGCTATTGCCTCATTTAATTTTTCAGTGACTTTAAGTTTAACGTTAGGTTATTTTAAGTTGTTTGAAGGAGCCTTGTACCTGGCTACCTACATCACGAGAGTTGGAAATCTTTGTATTCCAAGCCTTACTTCAAAGGACTTGTGATTGGATGCATCTCCATAGGTTTGGTGCTTCAGTGACCGTTGAAGGATAAGGATTCTTAATGTGAGCAAATATAGCTCCAGAGAAATAAAATCGCTTTTGAGTTTATCGATTTATAATTAAACCTTTTAAGAGTAGAGAGGCCCAACACGGCCGTAACTTACTATACAATATCAAATTTACTCTTTCTTTATAACACGTAAAAGAAAAAACACCGGTATGAGAAAATGCCCAATCTCGGCGAAGAGAAATATTTAATACGTGAATTGCGAGTTTTTAACTACTCGATGCGATGCCTCGATGGCCATGTGTCAACTTGAACTGATCTTACTGAACTGATAAAACACTACATAATGCGTGAACGGGAATATTACCCCTATTTTATTTAGGTGTAAAAAATATTTAACAGGGTCAGACGTCAGACGCCACTCAGTCGAATGTCGCGTTCAAACTTGATAAGGTGACTGTTCTAGTTATTCTACACTAAGAAAAGTCAACGAATTACATTTTTATTTTATATTTTAAAACAATATGTTCATTTCTGGAACACTGTTTATATCAATTTTCTTAATGGATTTTATTTTAATTTTCTTAAGCTTAATTTTCAATTTTCCTATTACGGGATTGTAATCAGATCCGATATCTGTTCTAGGGTACGTTTTTACTTCTTGCATTCCATTTCTGTATCTCTAATTAATCAATAAGAATTTTTCTTCTTGACAGAACTGGATTAGTGTATCACCTATCTCGTTTCGATATAGCATTAATGCCTACTATATCTAGAATTGTGTTAAAAATTGTCATTGGCCAACGTAGTGTTCTTCATAACACTGTATAATTAGCACACAGTTGATCTAGTGCATCTACACCTCCTTTATCCTCTGGACATTATAGTACACAATAATGATGAATAGGTTTATTAGTGGTCTCATCAATTTTATACAGCCTGATTTTTCTTGGGCGCATGAGAACAAATATTTATATTTTTATTATGTCCAAAAATTGAAAAGTAAACTGATCGTTTTCTATTTTCCTTAAATTCAGGAGTAATTTGAAGTTTATTTTGCTTCCAAAAGCCCATAAAACTGTCAAATTTTTCGCTTTTAGTACATTAAACAATTTTACGGAAATGAACCAATTATCGCAAATAAAATTTCTAATTGTTTTTAATTATTATCCCGATTTTATTATGGATTGTTTTGGCCTTTCTCTCTTCCTTCTTTCCCTTGGCGTCCATTTTAAAATTTGGTTTGGCAGCCTGTCGTCGTCCATTCTTTTCACATGACCACACCAGAGCAGTTGTCTCCTTTGAATTTCGTTAATGATTGTTGACTTGACTCCCATTATATTTCTGATATGGTCATTTTGTATTCTATCAAGCCTTGATTTTCTAGCTGATCTTCTCCAGAAGTCCATTTCCAATGCAAGTAGGCGTCGCTCAAGGGATTTAGTAAGTTGCCATGTTTCGCATCCATAGAGCACTATACTTTTAAAGATGGAGTTAAAGAGGAGATGCATTCTTTAATTTAATAGTTCTTTTGACCATAGCATCGGGTTTAGGCATCCTATCACCCTTTTTCCTTTCACGATTCTTTGCTCTATCTCTTTTTCGATGCGCCCACTCTTGTTGATTGTTGTTCCCAAATATATATATTCCTCACAGTTCTTGATTATTTCATGTTCGTTGACCATTAGATCTTCTACTTCATTCCGATGCATAAGTATTGCGTTTTGTTTCTATTTACAGAGAGGCCCCATTCTTCATATGTTTTGAACAACCGTCTCGTCATGAATTCTAAATCTTCCTTGTCTGCTGCCATGCCACTACTACTGGGTCGTCCGCAAAATATAGAGTGTATAATGTTGTATCGTCGTCAAGTTGGATCCCCATTCCTGAACAGGATCTTCTCCAGTGTTTTAGTGCTTCATTTGAATGAAGCATTTCTAATTGTACCTTCAATAAATTACATGCCATAAGTCAGTTAAAAAATATCCGTAACCCCTTCACTGCGGAAAGCGCGATATCGCGTCCTCAGACTGTTTCATAAAATGCGGAAGGCGCGATATAGCGGCCTATCTAAATGTGACTTCAAATATAAACTATATTTTCCGCAGTCTTTGGAATTGCACAAAAATAACTCCGCGCATGCAATAAGGTCTATTTTATCACAGTAAACCGTCCGTTGTAGAACTGGTTGCCTATTTTCGTAAATCTCAAATTTAACCTATAATTTTTGACATTACCTTGTGGGTAGTACCTAATTTTACATGTCGTGTTAATAACAGAAGTTTTTAATTTGTGTTGTATTGATTTTTTATAAAAATGAGCGATTCACAGCAACCTGCACATTCAGGTATGAAAAAGTGAAAAGTCATAAATGTAAGAAATCCAAAAAGTATCGGTTGAGGAAATGACAGAATTTTTATATAACTGTGATACAGAAAGTGAGCAAGATGACAAGGATACATGTAAGTAGATAATTTTAATGTGCTATATTATAGAAAATTGAAATATATATTTTTTAATTCAAGTGGAAGATTTCTACAATAATGGAGATTCGGATTCAGTAGTGATTAAATGTAATAACTATGCCATTCAAGTACTGGCTACTAGTAAAGGATTTGTACAATCGAGAATCACCGAATGGAAAGAAATGAGAGTAAAAGAATTCTTTGTGTTCTTAGGATTAACTTTACTTACTGGTAGTGTCAAACTTCCTGAGATACAAGATTACTGGCAAAAACACAGACTATTGTCTATACAGACAACTTGTTTTTTTTTTGAACTACATGAGTAGAAACAGGTATTTATTAATTATGCGTTGTCTTCATTTTTGTACTACTTGGGTGGAAGGTGACCAAATCCCCGAAGATAAGCTTTGTAAAATTAAATCTGTAATAGAACATTTCAACAATGTGATGAAGAAAGCTTACTCTCCTAATAGACAACTTTCGTTAGATGAATCGATGGTCTTGTGGAAAGGAAGACTTATCTTCAAACAATATCTTCCAAATAAGCGCCACAAATATGGAATCAAACTCTATATGTTGACGGAAGCCAGTGGACTTATTTTGAAATTTGTTGTTTGCGGTGGCGAACGTGACTTGTTAGGAGGTAAAGACCATACAAAAAAGTAGTAATGCATTTACTGAGCAACAAAGGCCACTCAGTTATCATGGATAACTATTATAATAGTTTTCATGGATAACTATTGGCAAAAATGTTACTGGATAGAAAGACTTAGGCCGTCCGCACATGGGTCGACGCTCGAACTGGTCGATTCGATTTCAATCGCGTGGATCTTTCCCCACCGCCCAAGTTCCTTCGTTGTTGAATTTAGCCCCGCAGACGGGGCGTTTAGTGGTCGTCTAGAATTGCAAATCTCCTCGTCTTCTACGACTCTCGTCATTGCGATTGGCAGCGCACGAGAAAGTTCGAGTGAGAAGCACGTTTTCAGTCATGTGGATAAGATTATTGTATTTGCTTTTTTCGTTTTTTATTGTTTTTTGCCCTAAAATAATTTTTTTAAGATCGACGAATATTATGTTTGCTGTTTGTAGTACTACTAGCATTGTAGAAATAATATATTGTTCGTAATATAAAATGATTTGGACTCGCAGATGTGAGCGAACAGCAAACTGAATCAACTAGTGTGCGGTGTGGTGCGGTCCAGAATTTGAAAATCGTATGATGATAGTGACGAATCTAGGAGGTGTTGAAAAGGAAAAAACCACAACCTATCATCGAATATAATAAGTATATGGGTGAAGTAGATCATCAGGATCAACAAATGGCGTATTATCCAGTAATTCGAAAGACTTTACGGTGGTACAAGAAATTAGGAATCCACATTTTCCAAATGATGATAATTAATTCACATATTATATAATAAGTATCGCGTTCAAAAAATGAGTCTTGGTAAATTTAGAATGTCAGTTTTAGAAAGGTTGTTACCAAAACCCAAATCAGTAACCATAAGTAATGTGAAAAGTTATATGTTGGTGTTGTTATATGGATATTGTTGATGTTTTACAGGTATGTGTTTAGTTTTTCCTCTCCTTGTATTCAAATAATAAATATGTCATCAACATACCTAAACCACAGTTTGTGTTTATGTTCTGCTGATTGTATTGATTTTGTTTCTATATCCTACATAAAAAGGTTTGCTGTTACGGGTAACAATGGCAAAATTTATCTATTCTCCTTTAACTTGTTTGTGCCTCTGAGCCATGTAGATGAAACAGGCGTTATTCAAGCAATACCTTGTAAGGTTTAGTGTACCATGTGGTATTAGATATTTTCTGCGTATAATTTATGATTGTTCTACTGGAACATTGGTAAATAACGAGACTACATCAAAGCTTACTAACAAATGTCTAGGCTTAATAGTAACGTACTTCATAAACTCGATAAAATGGCTTGCGTTCTTGACGTTAAGAGTACACTTTCTCTGTAGGTGGTCAGACAAAAATTTTGCCAGAGGTTGTAACGATGATCCGACAGAGCTGACTATTGGTCGTAATGATAATATAGTCATAATGGTGATGTTAAAGGAAGGTGTAATGCAGATGCAGAATTTGAGGGATAAGTATGCAAATATCACATCTAAATCAGAATATTTATTAAGAATTATACCAATCGACAATTATCGCAAATTACATTACAAAAAAAAAGACATATATAATATAATAGAAAAAAATTGTGTGATGTTTATAACAGATAAGCTTGTGCCAATGCGAGTACTGGAGCACCTGTTGCAGGAAGAGGAAAGGTACCGGCAGAAGCTGCTATATCCAGATGAGTGTACTTCAGAGGCACATCACTTGCTGAGCCATGCTTGTCCAGACCCGAAGCCACCATGAGAAATGCTCCAGGACCTATAAAAAAGAAATAGGTATTAAACAGTGAACAGTTAAGAACATTTTTTAGTAGTACGCTACATAGTATATAGTACGCTAAATAAATATAATGAATAGTTTATTTTGTTTAAAACTTGAATTAATCATTGTTTCAGTTATAAACTCAATGCCTAATTAATTAACAGTAACGAAAATCAAAAAACACAAAAAAAAAACTAATAAAAAAACTGGATGAATTGCTTTTGGTCCTGGTGTTTTACAGAACTTTCTTATAAGAGACAACCCAAAATTATGCAACGAAAAGAAAAGGTATTAATACATTAGGATAAAATATAGGTAATATGTTATGTTAATGACAAGTAATATGTCAACATTTAATAGCAATATATCTGTGAGTTTCAATTAGCATGCTAATACACTATTAATCTATCGGTGCAGTATTGGATACTAAGAGGCAGAACTAATTCAGTTTTTGGCACCTACACCAAAAAGAGATAGTCGATTGCCGATATAAGAAATCCTTACAGAATAGTTTAGGGTAAAAGACCCAACTAACTTAAGGGTACTTTTTTGGTATATGTTCTCTCTCCTCATTCCTTGAGCCCTTGTCAGGGGTGTGGCGACACTCTAAATATTATTAGCTTGCTGTCTCCATTGGCATGCTAGTTCCTTCAAAGAATTTGATGTTTCTTGCTAGTAGCATGCTGTGAGAGCAAGGCGCATGCGTGGGAGTGTCACTGGCATGTGTGAACGCACGCTACCGCTACGGACATACCAGTAGCTAGCAGAGAAATATTGTCAAATTTGTTGTGTTGGTGATAAAAATCAATCGTTTTATTTTTAAACTTATTAATTTAAAAAATGTTTCGTTGTGATGATGAAAAAACCATCAAATTTATTGCTATATATAGAGAATTGGAGTGTCTTTTGAATTCTAAATCATCTCTATATAAAAATAAAATAGCCCGTGACAATGCTTCCACAAAAATTCAATAGAAAATGGGTGAAGGTATTACTATAAAGGAGATAAAGGCCAAATAAAAAAATTGTTCCAAGATTTTCTCGCCTAACAAATCCAATTTTTCACCCAAATTTTTCTTTTTTAAGTTTCGCTTCGGATTCATTATTAAATTTCTAACAATATATGTGGTCAAGAGCAATATTTTCTGTTAAATTTATTCCGAATACCTTCCATGGATCCCTTTTTTTTATTGGAAACTCAAAAACTTTTAATTACAAACAAGTACTTTAGTTTCAGATGAAAACCACTCAATTGTTTATTAGTACTGGCATGTGTATTCATGTGCCATGTACTATGTGTAATAGTTAAGACATATTGTTAGGATTTTTAGTTTTAATGTTTTTGTACTTAGCAGTTGGTACAACTGATTTTATAAAAAAGAAGAAGAAGTTTGACTTGACATATAACATATATATGACAGATGTATCCATGTGTGAAAAATAAAAAACAAAAAGTAAAAATCTTTATTCATCATACAATCCAATACCCTATGGAGTACAAAAAACACAACATTTGTTGATCCTTCGAGCGTGATACATCCAGAAACAGCTATTTTCAAAAAATATCCACAAGAACTTATAAAAATTCAGATTGAAGTCTTCTACATATATACACACACACAGGAGGTAATCGTAAGTCATTCATTCTATTTCCTATTTTACCTTACTGATTATCCAACCTATTATTCACAATTTAGAGGCTTTAATCAATAATCATGTCTGATTTAGCAAAATGTGTTAGAACTAGGGGTTCAGTTAAAAAGCGGTTAACTTTGGTAGAAAAGTTTATAGATGTTATAAAAACATCAGAACCAGATAGGAAACCTTCATTAACTGATGCTACAATTAGAATTAACGAATTAGAGTTAATAGATAAAGACTTTGAAAGCATTCAATTAGAAATAGAGGTAAATTGTCCTGAACAACAACTTGAGGAGAACTATAAGGAGAGAGAACAATTTAAAAAGCGGTATTATGATACTCTAAGTTTTCTTAAGACATACATAGAAAGTATGTCTGCAAATCAAACTAGTAACAATTCATTAAGTTGTAATAGTTCTAATAAAGATCCATTACAAAATATTATTTTACCTAAAATTAAACTTCAAATGTTTAAAGGTGATTATGACAGTTGGCTGGAGTTTAAAAGTAATTACCTTTCAACAATACATGAAAATGCATCATTGACACATTCTCAAAAATTTTCTTTATTGAGAGCATCACTAGAAGGTTATGCAAAAAGTTTAATCGATCAAATTCCATTCACTGATAATTTATATCAAGAAGCTTGGAACACATTATTAGACAGGTTTGACAAAAAGTATTTTTTAGTAGATAGTCATTTAAATTCAATTCTTAACATAGAGCATTGTTCTAAAGAATCCTCAACCAGTTTTCGTAGACTATTAGACAATGTATCAAAAAATCTTGTATCTTTACAAAACATAGGTATTAGTAAAGACCAGTTGTGGGATTTTCTAATTATACATTTAGTTTCATCAAAATTAGATAAAAATACTTTTAGAGAGTGGAAAGAGAAAAAATTTAGTGGTGAACTTCCTAACATGGAGGAATTCTTAGAATTTCTTAAATCAAAAGCAGACATATTGGAAATCATACACAACACTACAAATGTAAACATTAATCCTAGTTCTAATATAAAACCAAACAAAACAAAAAATCATTCACATTTTAATTTAGCAATTTCCAGCCATAACTCAAATAATAATTACAAAAAATGTAATTTTTGTAAAAAGAATAACCATACAATATACAGTTGCTCTGATTTCTTAAAGCTAAATATCAATCAAAGAAAAGAATCAATTTCACAACTACAGTTGTGTGTAAACTGTCTGAGGACAGGACATAAGGTTGAATCATGCTATTTAGGGCCTTGCAAAATTTGCAATGTAAAACATAATTCATTAATTCATGAACAATCCAATAATCCAACATCTACCAATTTATTCATACAACCTCAACATTCAAATACACAAATTCTATTATCCACTGTAGGCTTTTATGTTAAAGATACGGTAGGCAACCAACATTACTGTCGAGCTCTATTAGACAGTGGTTCACAAAACAATTTAATTACACAAGGGTTTTGCAATAAAATTGACATACCTTTAATAGATTCAAAACTATCCATAGTTGGAATTAATCAAGTAACATCACATTTATCAAAAAAATGCAATTTGACTATTTTTTCTAAAATTGACAATTATCAAACAACAATTTCATGTTATGTGATTTCCAACATATGCAGTGAAATACCTGCAGAAAAACTAATCCACCCATCTTTAATTATCCCTAAAAATATTCAATTATCAGATGAACAATTTTTTGAACCTGGAGAGATTGATATGCTTATAGGTGCAGATCTTTTTTGGGACCTTCTAACAGAAGGAAAAATATATCTTGGTAACGGGTTACCTATTTTACAAAATACTAAACTAGGCTGGGTTGTTTCAGGAAAAAGTCCTGTATCAACTTCATTATCCAGATGCAATTTTGCAAACACAATTTATTCAGAAGATGCTCAATTAAAAAGATTTTGGGAACTAGAAGAAGTACCTGTAAATTCAGTCTTGCCAAAAGATGAATCAGATTGTGAAAATCATTTTCACAAAAATACTACTAGAAATGAAGAGGGTCGTTTTGTAGTAAAGTTATCATTAAAACTATCTCCTGATGTATTAGGGGATTCATTCAATGCAGCTTGTACCAGGTTTGTAAATCTAGAAAAAAGATTTAATCAAAACAACAATTTTCAAATTCAATATTCACAATTTATTAAAGAATATATTTCCTTAAATCATATGACTAAGATAGATATGTCACAAGATAATCCTAATAAAACATACTATTATTTACCACATCATGGTGTTCTCAAAGAAGAAAGTCTCACAACAAAACTACGTGTAGTTTTTGATGGTAGCTGTGCTTCTTCTACAGGCTACTCATTAAACGATTTACAATACATTGGTCCAAAAGTCCAAAATGATATTATCAGTATTTTACTAAGATTTAGAATGTTTAGATATGTAGTTTCTGCAGACATTACAAAAATGTATAGACAAATTTTAATTCACAATGATCATAAGTCATTACAAAGAATTGTTTGGAGAGATAATCCAGAACAAGACCTTTCAGTTTATGAGCTAAATACAGTGACTTATGGAACAACTTCAGCTCCATATTTAGCAATAAAATGTTTACAAACATTAGCTCAAGAACATATAAATTCATTTCCATTAGCATCACAAACAATTCTAAAAGACTTTTATGTAGATGATCTACTCACTGGTTCTAATAGTATCTCTGAATTAATTCAAACATGTCAAGAAGTCTCATTCATTCTAAATTCTGCTGGATTTCCTCTAAGAAAATGGACTTCTAACAATCCAAATGTTCTTCAAACCATTTCCAGTAATGATGATTCATTAGCCATATTAAAATTAGGACAAAATGATGCTTCAAAAACATTAGGTATATACTGGTACAGTCAATTAGATGTTTTAAAATATTCAATTAATAAAAATATTTATCCATTAACGAGTTCACTTACAAAAAGACAGGTACTCTCAGATATAGCACAAATTTATGATCCATTAGGTTTAATCAGCCCTTGTATAATTATAGGAAAAATAATGATACAAAAATTATGGTCATTAAACATGGCATGGGATGAACCCATTCCAGATGATCTATCTTTACAATGGCAACAGTTTAGAACTGAATTGTCAGAATTAAATCAATTATCCATTCCTAGATATGTTATAAAAAAATGAGTATAAATTGATAGAGATCCATGGTTTTTGTGATGCTTCTCGTGATGCATATGCTGCATGCATTTTTGCACGCAGTTCAAATTCGCAAGGAGAATTTCATGTACAACTATTATGCTCGAAAACTAAGGTGGCACCACTTAAGTCATTAACAATTCCAAGATTGGAATTATGTGCAGCCTTATTACTTGCACAATTATCTATTCAAGTAAAAACATCACTATTCAATCTTCCTAATGATATACCATTTTATTATTGGTCTGATTCACAAGTGGTGCTCTGTTGGTTAAAAACAGATCCAAACTCTCTAGAAATTTTTGTGGGCAATAGAGTGGCAAAAATTCAAAATTTAACTTCTATCTCAAATTGGAGTTATACTAATACAAAAACAAATCCTGCTGATGTTGCCTCCAGAGGCATACTACCAAACAAATTAAAATACCACCATATATGGTGGACAGGGCCAGAGTTTTTATGTGAACCAAACAGTCAATGGCCTCAATATTCATTTAATATATCCAAATCAAAATTACCAGAATTAAAAAGGATTCCAACAACAATTCTTTCAAATATTTCTGTCAATTCGTTAGAAATATTTACAAAGTTTTCTAGTTATTTAAAGTTAGTCAGAACAATTGCATATTGTAAAAGATTTATTCATAATTCAAAAAATAAAACCAATCAATACTTGGGTCCGTTACAAGCAATTGAAGTTGATCAAGCACTGCTAACATTAATCAAACTAGCTCAAAAGGATTCATTTAATGACACATTAATTCTTTTGTCTCATAAACCATTACCCCGTAACCATAAATTATCTTCTTTATGTCCTTTTTTGGATGAGCAAGGTATTCTTCGTGTAGGGGGACGATTAAAATATACTAATTTACAAACAAATATTAAACATCCTATCCTTATATCTTCAAATCATCCATTTACTAAACTAATTTTTATTCATAAACATAACTATTTATTACATCCAGGGCCGCAATTACTATTGGCAACAGTCAGACAAAAATATTGGCCTATTGGGGGGAAAATTCTTGCAAAAAAAATTGTCAAGAATTGTATTCAGTGTTTTAGACACAAACCAGTTGCATCCATTGCCCCTATGGGTAGCTTACCTAATAATAGAATTTCACCATCTTTTCCATTTCAAGTCACCGGAATAGATTATGCAGGTCCATATAACATAAAAGACAGAAAGGGAAGAGGTGCAAAAACAACAAAAGGTTACATTTGTGTGTTTGTATGCTTTGTAACTAAAGCTATTCACCTTGAGCTCATTTCAGATATGACAACAGAATGTTTTATAGCATGTCTGCGAAGATTTGTTTCACGTCGGGGAATACCCAACCACATTTATTCTGATAATGGTAAAACATTTCAAGGTGCATATAACGAACTCAATGAATTGTACAAGTTTATTCAAAATAATCATAATACATTAATAGATTATGCAACTAGCAATAATATAAGTTGGCATTTTTCTCCTCCTTACAGTCCTAACTTTGGTGGGTTATGGGAAGCTGCAGTTAAATCAATGAAACATCATCTTAAAAGAACTCTGTTAAATTCTATTTTAACCTATGAAGAGTTTTTAACACTCATAATTCAAATTGAAGGCATTCTAAATTCAAGACCGCTCTATGCAATTTCAGATGACCCAAATGATTACGAGCCTCTGACTCCTTCCCACTTCCTTTTGGGCCATCCTATTACTTCTCTTCCTTCCTTAGACTTACTGGAAGTAGCAGAAAATAGAACCACAAGACTTCAAGCTGTTCAACGTTTGCAACAACAGTTTTGGAATCGATTTTCAAAAGAATACATCAGCCAGCTCCATCAACTATATAAATGGAAGTCTCCACAGTCAAAACTCTCAGTTGGGAGTCTGGTATTAATCCGTAATGACCACTTACCACCACAAAAATGGCAACTAGGTCGAATTTTGCAGCTGATTCCTGGTCCAGATGGTATTCATCGAGTATCCCTTGTGTCCACTACAAAAGGTGTCCTAAAACGATCTGTGAGACATCTACATCCACTACCTCTCCAAGATGAAGCTTCAAGTGAAAATTAATAAAGACAATTATCGTGAAATACACATATTTATATTTTGAAGGTTCCCTTCAAAGGGGGGCTATGTTAGGATTTTTATGTTTTAATGTTTTTGTACTTAGCAGTTGGTACAACTGATTTTATAAAAAAGAAGAAGAAGTTTGACTTGACATATAACCTATATATGACAGATGTATCCATGTGTGAAAAATAAAAAACAAAAAGTAAAAAATCTTTATTCATCATACAATCCAATACCCTATGGAGTACAAAAAACACAACACATATGATTCATAGAAAAGTTATACTGGCGTTCAAACAGCGACAGCTTGCATAAACGGAAAATCAACAGAAATATGTAAAATACAAAGAGGTGTCAGGCACGGTTGGATACTATCCCCACTGTTATTTAATTTATATTCAGATAGAATATTTAAAGAAGTGCTGGCATAATTTGGAATGGGGCGTGAAAGTTAATGGAATTCTGATACATACAATCAGATATATGCAGACGATACAGTTATTTTAAGTGATGACATGAATGGACTACAATGCCTTTTAAATGCCAATCATACAGTGGGAAGAGAGTTTCGCCTAAACATAAACTGTTCAAAAACAAATCACATGGTGTTTAGCCGTTAAGCACATCAAGATGCACGATTATATGTTGATGGTCATATAATTCAAAGAGTGTCCAGTTTTAATTATCTTGATTGCCATATTACTGAACAACTAGATAGCCTAACCTAGATAGACTGAGATAGCCCGCACGACATTTTTAAAAATGAGGTCATTCTTCTGTAATGATAACTTGCAACTTCAACTTCGAAAGCGACATGGTTAAATGCTACATTGGCAGTCCTCTTATACGGTGTCAAAGCATGGACATTAAAAATATCCACCATTATTCGTCTGGGGGCCTTTGAAATGTGGCTGCACAGAGTATACTAAAAATTCCATGGACGGCTATGCTGACAAATGTGGCAGTCTTGAGAGAGCAAATGCTGCTCTCGAGCTACTTGATAACATTAAATGTAGAAAGTGGCCTATTTTTGACACGTAGTAAGGGGAGTCGATATAATATCTTCAACTTATTATGATGGGTAAAATCGAAGGACGCAAAGGAATTGGTAGAAAGCAGGCTCTTGGTTGAAGATATAGGTAGTGGACAGGAATAAGGAAAGCTGAGCAACTCTTTAGAATAGCTCGAGACAGAGACAGTTGTGTACAGGCATGTGTATCTCCGACTTTAGTACCATCTCAAACAAACTAATATTATTTGTAGACTACTTAACGATGTTAAATGTTATTTAACCATTAGATCAATCATTTTTCTATTAAAAAAAAGAGTTAAAAATTTAAAATGAAAAATAAAGTACCTTGATGTCCTCTCGAAACCATCGTCGAAGGTTTTGCAGCACTTTGGATTAAATCATCTCCTTCTATTTCTCCTTTGTGATGTTTAAAATCATCTCGACGAATTCTGGAAATTTCAAAAATGTCTCCGATCTTGTCTCCAGCGGCTTGCAACTTTTCTGCATTCTGTATTTTTTTCGCTGGTCCATTGTCCATAGCTGTAATAAAACAAATACTGTTAAAAAATAGCATCCTATTTCATTTTTTCATTACGTAAAACAGTCTAAAAACTTTATGTCACTGTTTTGTATAAACTTTATACAGAATGTTCAAAGTAATTAATATTATATTTCTATGAGGAATAAGACTTCTAGGTATAGGTGAGCAATTAGAAATAGGGGTTGCTAATTTAAGAACTTATTTTTAGAAATATACATTTTACCGACAACTGACATTTACTGACATAAGTCGGAACTGATTATTAAAAGGGCATGATTAAGCACCTTATTATAAATATGCGTAGGTAAAGGTCATGGCTACAGAATGGGGAACAAAGAAATTGAAATACCATGTTATACAGATGCCGCCACATTAAACGCCGAGACAGAAGACAAGTTCCAAAGATTAACACATATCTTCAATACAATATGATAACATTAGCAGAAAAAACAAATGTATACTAACATCTAAATACCCACTACGGTGTAAAATCGAAATTGATGGGAAAATAATAAAGCAGGAAACAATGTTTAGATATCTGGGAATAGATATTAGTTACGGAGATATTGAAGAAAGTACGACAACAAAGCTTAAGAACAAGTAAAGCGCCGAGATCTCTTAATGACACAATCTGGAAGAACAAACACCTAAGACAAGACACAAAACCAAGAATCTATAAAGCAGCAATTAGACCTATATTAACATACACGACGGAGACAAGACCTGACACATCTGAAACGAGACGACTACTAGAAACATAGATGAAAAAAAAAATACTGAAGAGACGCGAAAACATAAGAAGAGCATGCAATATAGAATACATAAATGGATGGGTGACAAAACGAAAGACAGGAGTGAAACGAACACATCAGTAGAATGGAAGAGGATAGAATAGTACGAATAGCACGAGATAAGTCACCATGTAGCATATGCAATTCATTGATTTGTTTGGTGTATATTGAAATCCCCGCGTATGTGTGATATATTGAAATCCCCTCATATATGTTTGAGAAATCGCAGAGTATTTTTTAACGTGTTTTAGTTTTCTATTTGTGCGTATTAAAACACCGAATTATTTCGTTCTTTTCACGTCGCCAAGTCGATTTTTGTGTTGATAAATCATTTTATTGTTTGTTTATGTCACAGTTCTTCGATATTCCTTTGATCGTTAAACCGCCCGAAACTGCGTTTTAATTCCTGTCACGTGTTTGTTATTTTAAGTTATGCGATCAATTTCTAAGGACAATTTCTTTACTCTCGGTAAAGCCGGCTGCTGATCAAGGCGTGTTCAGTTTTGTTGGAGTCCGAATTTATTTTCAAGTTCGAAATCATTTTCTGTCATGGAAATATAGCATGAAGTGACAGTAGCAGTTGTATACTTGGTATTGAGCAGTTTTACATTAGTTTTTGAAGATGGCCTAATGTTGCCATTGTGCTGTGCCTGTTCCAGTCTTCGAAGGAGACGAGTTTTCAAGGTTGTGTTCCAGCCGGTGCTGGCTTCCGCCCTCATCTTCTTATCCCTGATCGTCATTCAGGACTGCCCCCAGTATAGTTCCAGCATGATTCCAGTTCCCGACCCCAGACATGCAGAGTGAATTCTAGTGAGGTTCAGGTAACTTTTTCTGTGTCTAAAATTAAATCAAGATAGACATTAAAAATAATAATAATTGCTTTCATTGTTTAAAAAGATAATTTTTTCTATTTGTAATAATTTTTATATTTGCCACAGTTTATACTCAGTAACATTTGTAAGTTTTTGTAGCATCTCCTGAGTTTGTAAATCAGTAGAACACATGTAAGTTCTCTTTATTATTTTGGTAAGAATCTCTGTAACTAATATAGCATTTTTTGTGCTGTCTGTATTTGTGTAACTGTTTGTGGTATGACACAAAAATAAATGTTAAAATTTTGTTTCTTAACATTTTGTCTATTTTTTTAAATTAATCCATTTTTTTTTCGAATAGTATCCCAAGTTAGTTACAAAAATGTCGCCCAGATATGTTTTGATTTTTTAATAATTATTTTCCTATTACAACTAGTTTTGTATGTTATAATTGGCACCTCAAAGTGGCGACCTATAATAAATTACTAGAGGTGTTTCCTGTTTCTTTTTGTTTTGTTTGTCCCAAGAGATTTGTACAAGTACCCCTTTATTTCATTTTTTTGTAGTTGCCCCAATCCAACCACCTTATCTTTTACTTATCCACGACCCCAGCTCTCCTACCAAACCCTGAATGCCGTTCGCATAAGTTTCGTTTATTTTGCTTGCCCTATCTTCACCCCCATAGTTTCAGTCCCCAATTTTATACCCCATAATCTTACCCCGTGTGGTAGGCAAAATATCTTCGTTACAACCAAATGGACGAAGAAGTATTGGAGAACCAAGAAAAAGATGCTGCGACAATTTATACAATGTAGGAGGCTAATAGTGAAGAAGAAACAAGCTTTAAAGCCTATATACAAGAAAAAAAAGAAGAAGAATATAAATATGCACGGATACCATACTTGAAAAGGACAACTACAAGACCAAATGAAATTCCGAAGAAACTTAACAAACAAGATATACGAAACCGGTTAACAAATGATTGCTTACTGTATCGAACTGATAGAAAAAGCTGGAGATCATAAAAAAATTAGGTACAAAGGCTAAAAGCACAATTAGCTGAGCCTTTGAACTTACTACCATGGAATAGCGGAAAAAAGTGACTAAGAAAATCGATACGATATAGTGTATCTTGAACAAATACCAGATAGCATCAAAGATCTAAGGATTTAAATTAATAACTGTTTATAATGTTCACGACTGAGTATAAGTAAAATTAATTTTTTGGTTGCATTTTTTGCACAAGTACATTCAAATATTTCTACTCAATTAAACAACTATTTTGCGATCCTTATTTATGAATAACAACAAACTATACAGGCGGAATAATCCTGCTTGTACGATAACAAAAAAGATATATAAACGATGTACCGCAAGTAGGTTTATCATCAAGAGAGTACCCCGCAGCACTAGTACAAGAGATAAATCTTGTGTGCGAGCATATTGTAAAGAGTTGTGTGCCATTTTTTTGACCGAATAACGGTCAGCGGTATTTCTCCTAAGGGTCATTTAATTATTTCAGAAATAGTATCACGAATTCACTGTAGGTGGCATTTCTTTCACTGTTAAAGTCAGTGTTGGATTCAAAATATTTGGAATGAAAATAATATATTGGCTGATTTCAATGGGATTCTTATAACTAGAGATGATTGCCGAAATAACAAATTCGCAGAATTTGAAAAAACAGAGAATGTATACAGATTAAAAATACATTATATTATGCAAACAATAAAAAATCATTACAAAGTTTCTATAAAATGGTAGAAATTGATAGCCTATGAAACACAGGAAGAATTGAAGGAAATGAATGGATTAGAAATAAGCGAGATAACAAGATAAATGAAAATAAACCACATTGTAATATAAAGCGCTGGTGCTTCCATTTTTCTTTAGTTCTTTCTCTCATACTCCAATCGCCAGAGACGAAAATGCCACTGAACAAGCACTGAACATCATATGAACAAGCTGAATTTTGACGAGCATATTAATTTTGGGAGCTTAAAAAAGTTTACCACTTTTATCCTCGGCTTCAAATACCTAAAAATTCAATTTACCAAGATTCTATACACCGCAGAAAAAAATATTTCAAATAAAAATTTGAATGGAAGAACCGCCACCGCCAGATGGAAGAAGGTCTGTAGGGCGGCCTAGTAAAAGTGTGGAAAGATGCGTCAAAGAAGATCTAGAGAAAATGGGAGTGCGACAATGGGAATTAATGGCACAGGACCGACAAACATGGAAGGCAATAGTAACCGCGGCAAAGACTCACGAAGAGTTGTAGCGCCATTGATGATGATGTTATTGGACCCATAATTTTTATTAAAATTCTCCTCTGAAAAATTTGTATTCCTGATTAGGTTCCTGTCGTTAAGTCATATGTGGTATTTTCCTAGGTTTCGTTACCTGTTAGTACCTACACGCTTTATTATTTTTGAGATTTTTTGATTTTATCCACTTACTATTACATTATTATCATCACTCTGGCTTTACAACCGCATATGTATCCTAGCTTCAAAATAATGTTACCTGAGCCCTCCCTATTCATCACCTTCCTTCGCCAAAAACGTATTCCCATGTTTCTCATATCTTCTTTGATGTTATCGATAAATATTTTTCTGGATCTTTCTCTTTTTCTATAACCAATGGGTCTATCAAAGAGTGTGTTTCTTACTGAATCATTTTGCTCCATCAGCATTTCCATGTTCTACCCACCATGTCCATCAGACCTCCCATTTTAACTGGTCTATGGTCTACTGGCTACTGATCACTGGTATAGTTTATTATTTATTATTACTTCTAGATTGTTTACGTTGATTGGAAATTTTAAACCTTTCTAACTTAGGTACGTCTTAATGAAAACATTTTATACCTGAACAGATTCTGTAGGTATCACAATAACGATTTATTTAAAAAAAAAACTCAAACACTTGAGACCGGGCATTCTCTATTGTCTAAAATATTCCACACTACCTCCAAAAATTGCTACTTCGAAAAAAATGTTCCTGAAGTGGTAGACATTCTATGGAATGGAATGCTACACCTGGAAGCTCTATTATTCAAAAGAACATGACAATGCATTTTTCAAGGTAAAATTAAAGAAAAAAAGGGTCCCACGACGAAGAAGAATATCCTGGCTTGCTAATCTGAGAGCATGGTATAGAAAGACCTCAAGACAGCTATTTCGTATAGCAACCAACATAGTCATCATAGCCAGAATGATCGCCAACGTTCGGAACGGACAGGCACCCTAAGAAGAAGAATATGTAGACTATTTAAAGGTAAAATTAATCTTGATCTTCAAGTCCACTGATTATTGTCTTTATACATAGTAAGTTATTTTCATAATAAACATGTGACCTATTGAAAGAAAATATTGTCTCAAGAACAAATTGTGTA